CCCCAAAACCCCAAAACCCCAAAACCCCTTGTTATAGGAATGACAGAAATAAAAAGATATTTTTTATTGTCTAAAATAAATATATACCTATCAATATGTAGAGAAATTAGATATTTGAGCATTGTAAGGACCCTGAAAATGAAGGACTTTCAATTTGGTAGTACCCTAATTTAAGAAAGAGACCTCTATTCTTAACTTCAACGCTTAGAACAATTCCAAAATTTGATTCTAACTCATCCTATATAGTAATTCAGTCGAAGAATAACTATTCTATTCTTAACGATGCCCCTTATAATTCATACAAGATATTTTTCTGGGTAGGCTCAAGATCTCAAGATTATCAAGTAAAATTCTAAGAGACAGTTTAGATGCTTCAAGAACTAGAAGAGGAGGTTCCCCAAACTAAAATTAGATATTATATTGAGTTTCAATACTCTGAGAGTTTTTAATTCTTCGCACTTTTCAAGCGATAAGATCTGAATATAGAAAGAACAACTGAACTTAGCGCTATTGCTTATCAAGATTTTTATAAAGTTAATATTTTGACAAAGTTCATCCCTTTCCCTAAGTTGATGATATTCGAAATGATTGATCATCCTTCAGAATACAAGAAATTTTTTGTAAGAATATACGAGAAAAAAGAATTAGACACTAAGATCAAGTCTTCAATGATCTATTTCTTTATGCAAGGTGTCTATGTTAATAGTAAAGGTGCAATTGTAAATCCTGGTGAAGCCACGAAGGATGAAGTATCTGAAAGAATAAACCATATAGACGTACTCTACGGCAGTAAAGCAAATTATGAACTCATCCAATTTGTAAAGCGACTCTTAGATAACTATAAGATATAGTTTTTAGATAAAATAGAGATTAGTGAAGTAAGGTAGAAAGGAGAAAGTTTATTACCTCTTTGGGTAGAAATTGAGGAAAAAGCAATCTTCATGAATTCCGAAGTAGATCTGTCTTGGCCTTGCGAAAAAGAGGATATAGAATCAGAGCTTTATCCCTATCCATATGCTATTTAAAATTCATGGGACTGGAACTCCAAGAGTGAGGAAGAAATAGAATCTACTTTTGAGGATTAAGAAAATGTGAAGTATAATATTCAAAATGAATATAACATCACTATGAAAAAGGCAGATATTGAATTCGATCCAAATTAACTTTAACTATTTAGATTGAGTCTATCTATAAATGAGTCTAGAGCAACTTAGTATCAAGTCTAGTCAAGGGCAACATAATAATTAGATCTAGATTTCTCAGATAAATATATTGTAGCATTCTAGTAAATTAAACTAAAAGGGACTGATTCCAATATGCTGAACAGCAATCATTCTTACATAATATACTCACCATTTACATTATTCTTATGGCATGGTGCTGACATAGATCTTGAAAGGAAAAAATCTTCACTTTACATCCTTAAAATGTTTTTGAATTCAAAACTCTACGAGCATATTAATTATCAACCATCATATATGGACTAAAATCAAAACCTCAGCACGATAAAGTTCAGAGTTGAGTTGTAATACTATGAATCCTAGAGATTTAAATCATTTTTTGAAAAAACATGGAATGACGATAAACTAGATTATCAAATGATGGCCATGGAGAAAATAAATAAAGCAAATGTTGACAATAGTAGTGAAGAGGAATATGATAATGAGGAGGAAAAAGATTAATTTGATAATTTTAACATGCTTGCAGAATAGAGACAATAAACTTCATCAAGAATGCTGTCTGAAATAAATAGTTTTGAGTAAAAGCAAAAGACTAGTCAAGTGAGAAGAATTCAAAAAGAAAGTATTAATATTAAGGAAAGGCCTTAAACTGTGGCAGATATAAAATCATTTAGTCGAAACAATACTCTCCTGGCTAATGAAAGGAAATCTGAGATACCTGTAGATGAAAACTTAGATTAAGAAAAATTTAATAGTCTTGTTTACTCCTTTTTTGAACCGATGAGCATTTTAAGTAGATATTAAACGTAGAGAGAAACCCAATTTGTTAGCTAAAAATTTGATTAGATTGCTATTTTCTCGATTTAAGGTTCTAAATTTGACTTAGTAAATGCAGATCAAAATGAAACTGGCATCCTTGATGCAAGTAAGACATACTTTATTGTTTTCTCAAATTAAAATCAAGGATATCAAGCAAGTATTATTAAAGATCTACATGCTATCTATTTGTGGAGAGGCAGTGATCAGTCATCGATGAATGTTGTGAAGGCTTTGACTAAAATTTAAGAAACAGAATTTAGAAGTCTGAAGTAAAATTAAACTGCAACTTAGCAGGCATCAGGCTATTCGAAAAGAATGTCAATGGACAACAATAATAACAAGATTTTAGGGTTTTCAAAGAGCGCTTCAACAGTTCACTTGGAAAACGATAAGAAGTTTGACGTATCGAAGTTTGATATTTCAAAGGATGATACACTTCAAAAATAATCTATTAAGAAGTAAAATGTCCTCACACCTATTCTAAACTTGAAGTTTGCTGCCAAGGATAAAATTAATGAGACAAAAGTTAGGAACCTTAGAGCTCTAGTAGACGATGATTCTGGAGCCATTAATCTTAGATCAATTATCAAAATGGATCATGAACCAATGCATTTCCTTCAAGCATTTTAGGGAGTCCTAATTATAAGGACTAATGATTATCTTAAAAAAATACAAAGTAATAACGATTATGATCCTAATGATGACTCAAAATCAATTAATTATGTAATGCTATTCTAACTAATAGGAGTGCCAAATCTTAATCAAAGAGCAAGGGAGGTTCCTCCGTTCTACGAAAGTCTTACCACTTCTGGTCTCTACATTATGATTACTAGTAAAGAAGTTCATTTTTGGATTGGCTAAGACTACTTTGACAATTACTTGAATGATCATATTTATAGGAAGCAGAGGAGATTGATATCAGATGTTCTTCTTAAAAAGCTAATCACAATGTATAATACAATTCATGATGAGATCCTTGAAACTAAAAGACCTTTGATATTTAATATTCAAGGTTAAGAAAAGAAGAAATTCATGAGAATAATTAATGGAAAAAACTCAGAGTTATCTGATCAAGAGGATGATGAGATAATTGACACTCCATACTTAAATTTTGAGTCTAATTTCATTAAGAAGCTGGTACTTCCACAAGAGCCAAGATTATTCTGTTTGATTTATAATGGAAATATTGTTGAATACGACTCTGAAAGATAAGATGATGATTAATTAAAGAGTCTTTTAACAGAGAGATAAGCTTTGATATTCAAGGAAATCCACAGCTTTAATCAGAAATCACTAGATTAAAAAGGAGTGTTCTTGTTAGATTTCTGTTCTGAGGCATTCATTTGGACTGGTAAGAAGGTGACAGACAAAGATAGACTAATGGTTTTGCAATTAGCTTTCTAAACATTATGCTTCCTTCATCCTCAAGGATAAGACTAGATTGAAAAGATGGCAATATCATTTATTGAGAATGGATATGAGCCTGAGATCTTTAAGAAACAGTTCAAAGATGGATGGTAGAACTTTGACCATACGATGGCTGGAATTATTGAAAGCAGTGATGAAGAAGAGGATGAAGAAAAGCCAAGTCTCGATGATACAATGATGATTAATCAAAAGATCAGTGAAAAGGGAAGTAAAATTAAGGTTGAACTGATTCCTGAGAGCTACTGGATCAACTGAAAAGAGTTGATATTTCTTCCAATCAAGTATGATAAGTTTAGAGATAATGATTGAAATAAATCCTTTCATTAATAAATTAATAAGTTTGAAATGTGAGTTTTAATAATCAACCTCATAAAGTTCTCTTAATCCAAAGTGATAAGAGAATAGGATGAGTAAAAGTATGGTTCTTTTCAATCTCTATACCTTCTTTCATTTTAGTCACTTTAATCACCTCTGAAAAATCTTCTGATGTAGTGATCATCATCATCATAATCTTTATTGTCTCTATCGTCATGATATTCATCAATGATTTCAAATAATCCATAAGCCAACACAGCTATAATTAGAAGAACCAAGATTGTAATGAGCAAGCATTTTATTTGTTTTCTATACTTGTCAATCAAAGATTACTCTTTAGTTTTCTTGTATTCATCATCATTTATGGGGCTGTAAACTAAAGGAATTGCAAGTGAATTGCTTGGATTTTACCTATTAAGGATCAATATATTCAAATATAATTACCATTAATTTGATTACGTGTTATAAAGTGGAGGTAGTTAAGGATACAGACTTTGCTATTGATGTTGATTTTAGTGATTTAAGTATGGATTATCACTCATCAATGGCTGATAGAACTATTGTGATTGAGGATCACCCTGCTTTTGAGGGTAATGGTTGTATATAACCTCTGTTCTTGATCCAAGATTCATTGTAATTTATATATAATTATTACAAATCTTATAATTGGATCTGAGAATATCTAATTCAGATAACTCATTCTAGTGAAAGACGGGGTTTTGGGGTTTTGGGGTTTTGGGGTTTTGGGGTTTTGGGGTTTT